CGTTCCTCTAAAGGTAAAAAGGAGTCAGTACCAGTATTCAGCCGAAGCTCATATGGCGGAGGCGCTGAGGAGCGTGAGCCCGCCGGATTTATAGGCGGTGGCCTCACATTCATTTTTGTTTTCAGTGGCCGGTGTCTATCAGGGTGATATCTTTTTTCCTCATACCGTGCCACCTCCTCCTCTAGACCACCTTCTTCGCTAGAATCCAGAGTGTCAGAATCAGAATTATCTAGCTCCAAGGCTTCTAGCTCTACTGCAGGGTATAGACTAGATTCTGGCTTTTTCTTTTTCTTAGATTTGTTAAGGGGTGAATGATAACTCCCTTCTTTCTCTCCCCCTTTCTTAACTTCCTGGGGAGGGCCTTTTTTCTTAGACATGTCTTTTCTTTTGCGAGCTCCCATTCTCTCACTCCGTTCAGTTTCTGACATGCTATCCTGAACTTCCTCTAAGGTTCCCTGACTTTCTATTATAGCAGGGTGACAGGCCTCATCCTCCAAGCAGTTTTTAACTAGCTTCCAAATGGCTTTGGTACCTAAGCAGAGATCTCCTTCTGCATGCTTCCTGTCTAGTTCTTTACCTAGCTTGTTCCATGAGGCCACAGTGAGGGACCCGGAACAAGCATACCATGGTGCCACTCTATCTACCTCCTTCACAAAATTTTGAAGTGTTCGTGGTGCAATTTTAAGATCTCTTTGTTTTAGCACAGTCTGTAAGGCTGTAACCACTGACTGTGACGACCCCATCGCGCTGACAGCTTATCTAAAAAACGCGCTCAACTCCGTTACCAGACTGACAGCACCAGACTGACAGCACCAGACTGACAGCACCAGACTGACAGCGCCAGATGGACAGCGCCAGATGGACAGCGCCAGATGGACAGCGCCAGACGGACAGCGCCAGATGGACAGCGCCGTTCTGTCAGCACCAGCCACGATGAAGGAGAAGGACAAACAGGACTAGCACCAAAGCCTCCACTGACCCGTCCCACGGTGATGACAAACTAAGGCCAAAGTCGAGAAAAGGGTTGTTCAGGATAAAGCATACCTCTCTGAACCTACGTCCCTGCAGTTCTGAATCCGCCCCGTTTTCCGAGGGGTCTCCCGCGGCGCCGGCGATGTTGAAGAGTTCCCGGGTTTCGGCACCAGATGTCCCGCGCTACCGTCTCGCCAGCAAGAACGACGCAGAACACTCGGATCCTTCTGCAGTAAAGCTTTAATGCATCTTGAGAGATAGATGATCAGCTTCTTAGAGGGAGACCCCAAGCTAAGAAACCCAGCCCCTTATATAAGCCTAGGAGCTCCGAGTGAGATGTGTAGAGCCGGGATTGGTGGTTTGCACATCACCCCAGATGACGTCACGGGAGAGGCACAGTTTAAACGGTTAACTCCAACTGACAGCGACAGTTAACTCCAACTGACAGCGACAGTTAACTCCAACTGACAGCGACAGTTAACTCCAACTGACAGCGACAGTTAACTCCAACTGACAGCGACAGTTAACTCCAACTGACAGTGGATGTCAGCGCCATCTTCTAACGGCAATAGCGATAGCGAGGGCGGCTCCTCACACCCTTGGGCTCCTTTTTAACATTGGACATATTCCCAGAGCTGGCCTAACCTACATCACCCAGTTGCTGGCTGCTGTGGGCTGGCATCCCCCAGGGATGTCTGGTTGGGAAGCTCAATTTACAAATTCTTGGAACTGTCATATTAAACTGTTTCCTAAGGCTGCTAAGGAGTAACACGCCATTACCCTAGGGCTTTTATTGTCTTCAAATTTCAGAAGTCTTATAGGTGTTTCTGGTTGGCTGTGAATTTCAAATTCATTGCTAGACTCTCTCAATGATTAAAACCTGGTGAGCTTGAATAAACTGACCCTCAAGACAACTTGTATCTGTGGGACAACACATAATTTTGCCATCCCCCTCAGCCACCCCCACCCCCGCCCTGTGAGGATGATGAAAGTCTCTCCCTAAAGGTAATTTTGATTCACTGAAGTTTAAGTCTCATACTGGAAAATGCACTGAGAAAAATATAGCTGAAACTGGTCCAAAACTTCCTATGTTTCCCCAGGGTAGTGAAGACAGTTATTGTGGACTTGGCTCAAGGAGGGGTGGGAAGTCATGGCCTTTCAGACCAACATTCCCTGCAAGACAATAACCAGCTAGAGTAATAATTTACATATAAAGCCCCAAAATGAAGCCGAGGAAACATCTATAAACAGTATTTTCAAAGTTATCATTATGAGGTCAGGCTTTGGAGAAGATGTTTGGAAATGGAGAAATAAAAGACAATGTTTGGTCTTCACTTAAATCCACTAAAGACTTCTGTGGCACACGCTATTGGCTTTTTCCTGATTTTCAAGAGATTTCTAAATAGAACAAAAATGTCAAAGCCTCCTCTCTTCCTAAAGGAAGTCAGCAGAAGCTAAAATGCTGGGTCTCTGAGCCCGTGGGTTTCGAACCCTCTGAGGGGGTCCCATATCAGACATTTGCATTACGACTCTTAACAGTAGCATAATTACAGTTAGGAAGTAGCAATGAAATAATGTATGGTTGGGGTCACCACAGCATGAGGAACTGTATGACAGGACTGCAGCGTTAGGAAGGTTGGGAACAACCACTGGCCTAAAGAGTTACTGCCGAGGATCAGAATCCAAGTGGGTTGCCACAGTAATTGGTATCATGATAGTATCGTGTAAGGATGAAATAAGGTGATACTGTCCAGGACTGTGACAAAGACCTTGGCATTCTTTCTTCCCTGCTTTTCTCATTCCTTTCTTTCTCAATTTCTGTTTCTTTTTCAATCTGTTTTCCATAATAACCTTGTATCTTCTACTTTGTAGTTTATCTCTCTGGAGCCTGAGTCTCTGGAAGGTGCTTAGAATAACCTGTGAATGTCATCGAAATATCTAAAGTACAGTGCAGTTAGTGCAAGAATTATTGTCTTGCCAAGCCTCAAAGTGCACCCAGAAGGTTGAGATAGGAATATCATGAGTCGGAGACCAGCCTGGGTGGGATACATAGTGATACTCTGTCTCAAAAGATTATTTTCCATCATAAAGCTAAGCAGTTAACATCCACCAGAGATTATTTTGTCTTGCTGAATTCACTTGGTAAGCCAGTTATGCTATCTATGCTTAGAAACCTCCATACCTTTGAAATACTCTTTCTGGAATATTCTTTTTCCTGCTTCTGGTTTATTGAAACTTTTCTTATTGGTTAAAGCCCAACTCAAATGTGACATCTTCTGGTAGGCCACCTTTCAACTATATTCCCAGCCCTATTCATGAAACCTTTAAAGAAAATTGACATACAGAGTGGCCTTCCCAACCTCAGAGGATAGAGTGGAGGCTGGGACTGTCCCCTCTCTATGTCCTCACTGCTGCTTTCTGTGTGTATCTCCCTGGTGCCTTTACTTTTAAAGACATGTTTTGTGTGGAGAATAAAGAACCCAAATATTTTTATTTTGCCAGCTACATACTGAGAGTGGATTGACCATTTTCAGTGCTCACCTTTTGGTTATCACACAGAATGGTATAAATTAGATTATTTTCCCTTCTGGAAACAAAAGAAAAAAGAAAGAAAGAAAAATATAAGTAAATAAATAAATAAATATCAACACAGGTTTTTCTTGTGTTGTGTTCTTGTTTCAGGAAGTCAATTACTACTTTTTACCCCCTGATGTCAAAGGATTATTTTTCTGCTTTTAAGTATTAGTGAAAAAACAGTCTACGACAAATTTAAAGGAGTAAATAGGTCCTTAATTTCAAAATGCCTATCTATTGTTAGCAATTGAAATTACTTTTCAAGAGGCTAAAATCCACTTTCTGTATTTTTTCACCTCTCACCCCCCTTTATTTTGTGAATGTTTAGAAGATGAAATGAGGTTTGGGGAAACTAAAGTGGTCTCCCCAGATTTACAGAACTGGTCATACAATTCTGGGTTTGGAGAACTGGGGCTGGGAAAACACAACCTTTCCTCTGGCTTTTTATTTCGTCGCATTTTCTACTGGCTCATGAAGTTTCTAGAATATGTCTTCAAAATATCTCACACGTGGAATGAAGTATTGATTCATTTCTCAGCATGCGTTTTTTTTTCTCTCCTCTTGACTCAGGTTTCCTTTTGCTTTCATAGAAGAGAAGAGAAAATTGAACTATTAGAGTAGAATATTGGGATGAAAAAGACAATAGAGGACTATCACTCAAGACATCTCAGGGCTGGGGAGAGCTGCGCCACACCGCGCCTCAAAGATGGCGCCGGCTTCCGCATTCCACCATCCCGACGGTGAGTGCGCTCGGAAATAAACAACTCCTTATTTGGCCTGCTCCCATCCCGCCGGGGTCACGCCGTCATCATCAGATTGCTTATGCATTCTGATGAGCCTATGGCTTGCACACACATGGCTGCTCAGGGTTGGCTGGCCTCGGCTATTTAGGGAGCAGGAGGGGTTTTTCCCGTGGCTGCCTCTACATTGTTTCAAGGTTCCTAAATAAACCGCTGATGAGAAGGATTCCTGAGTCGCGTCTTCCTTGCAGGTCGAGGTGGTCGTGACAGTTGGTGGCCCGTACGGGGAATTCAGAACTCACGGCGGTCAGGGGGTGCACCGGTAAGTCCCCAGGTAAGGCGGGGATCCGCGAAAAGAGCGGGATTATTGTTCTCACCCATAGAGAAGGGGAGAACGGTCAGCAGAGCCGCGTCAAAGCGGACGGGAAAGCAAAGCAGCAGAGCCGCGTCAAAGCGGACGGGAAAGCTAAGCAGTAGAGCCGCTTCAAAGCGGACGGGATAAAACGAAAGTAGTAGAGCCGCGTCAAAGCAGACGGGACAAAAGGGAAAGTAGTAGAGCCGCGTCAAAGCGGACGGAGTAAAAGTAAAACAGAGGGTATTATTTTTCTTGGCCCTTTGGGTGGTATTCAATTTTATTTTTGGGTTTTCTTTTCACTGTTTGTTGCAAGGATTGTACTAGGGCAGGTCAGTCAGGGAATCAACCTTGCTAAAAACATGGGTAATTCAACATCCCACCCAATTTTTTTGGCGCTCAATGAGTTGCTGCATTCAAAAAACCTTAAACTTAAGAAAAGTACTTTGAAAAGATTCCTGACGGAGTGTGACACTGTGGCACCCTGGTTTGCCGTATCTGGCAGCTTGACACTCTCGTCATGGAAGAAATTAGACAAAGATTTAGATGTTACTGCGGAGCACGGTGTCCTTGCTCCTGGGGTTCAGCCCGTTTGGACGTTAGTTCGCGGGTGTCTTACTGATCAAAAATACATTAAAGCTATAAGGAACGGTCAGGCGGCCCTAGAACTTTTACAGGAGGAGAGGTCAGAGTCGGCTACCTCAGTTGAGGCTGCCTCTCCCATAGGTCATACCCCGGATCTAAAAATAAAACCAAAACAGAAGAAAGAAGAAAATAGATTATACCCTGGCCTGTCAGACTTGGAGGATATTAATAGTTCTGCCGCCCCTACCTCCACCAAAGAGTCTGAGTCAGAAGAGGAGCGGGAGGCCCCCCATAAAGCACCTTTACAGTCCGCCCGAAGATTGCTTACAAAATTACAGCTAGGAAGAAAGAAAGTTAGCCGACTTTACCCAAGGACTGACATAGTCCCTTCGGCTCCCCCTCCCTATCCAGAGGCTGTAGCTAATTCAGGAGGAGCTTGCTTCAACTCAAAAGTTTGGAGACAGGTTAGAACAGAGATGCCTCTGGCCTATCCAATCTTCCAGGACCCACAAGGGAACAGGTTTCATAAAATACTGGATTTTAAAATTGTAAAATCCTTGGCCGAGTCAGTCAGAACCTACGGGGTCACAGCATCCTTTACAGTTGCTCAGTTAGAGACCCTACATAGATTTGCCATGACACCGGCTGATTGGCGGAATCTTACAAAGACATGCTTGTCACCTGGTCAATATCTAGATTGGAAGGCCTATCTCAATGAATTTACAATTACTCAGAGCGCGGCTAATGCCGCGGCCGGAGGGCCTCAGGCTGTTTGGGATACAAAAATGCTCCTAGGCATGGGTCAATACGCCACTCAACAAAATGCTTATCCACCATTGGTGTATGACCAGATCAATCAGATTGCCATTAGGGCATGGAAGGCTCTCCCCAATAAAGGAAAAACGACTGGCAATTTGACAAAAATCTTACAAGGGCCATCTAAACCTTTTTCTGATTTTGTGGCCAAGTTGGTGGAGGCGGCAGAAAAAATCTTCGGTGATACTGATACTACCATGCCGCTAATAAAGCAACTTGTGTTTAAACAATGTACCAAAGAATACAGGGTGGCTATCATTCCACTTAGACATAAGAGACTTGAGAAATGGATGAGGGCCTACAGGGAAATAGGCGGCCCCCTAACTAATGAGGGACTTGCGGCCGCCGTCATCAAATTAAGCAGGGGAGGCGGCCACCCCGGAACTTGCTTCCATTGTGGTAAAGTGGGGCATATGAAGCGTAATTGCCCACAGAGAGACCAGCCAAGGAATAAGGATGCTTTAAACTTTAAAGGTGCTCAATGCACCATGCCAGGATTATGCCAAAAATGTAAAAAAGGGAGGCACTGGGCGAATGAGTGCAGGTCTGTTAGGGACATTAACGGTCATGTCATCCCATATATGTCAATGCCAAAAAACGGGAGACCGGGCCCCAAGCCTCAGGGCCCACAAATATATGGGGCCATGGAGAACTCAACAACAGAAAATCCCAATCTAAGGGAGACGAGCCCAAAACAGTGGCCAACCTTCCGACACCCCAAAAACCTCACAGGGCCACTGCAGGTGCCGCGGAACTGGACCTCTGTTCCGCCTCCGGACTCGTACTGACCCCTCAAATGGGGGTACAATTAATAGAATCAGACCTCCAAGGACCCTTAAACCCAGGCACAGTGGGTCTCCTCCTGGGAAGATCATCCACTATTTTAAAGGGTCTTAAGGTACATCCTGGGGTAATCGACCCTGACTATAATGGTACAATAAAGATAATGGTAGAGTCACCTAGAGGGGTAGTAGCTATCTCCCCGGGAGACAGGATTGCCCAACTTCTGCTTCTGCCCAGCCAACATAAGCTGTTTCCAGCACGGTCTAATGAAAGAGGAAAAGAATGTTGTGGCTCTACAGGAACAGATCTGACCTTTTTGTCCTTAAAATTAAATCAAAGACCAGTCCTAACACTTAATGTGGATGGAAAAAGGATTCTTGGCCTGCTAGACACGGGGGCAGACAAAAACATTATAGCAAAAAAGGACTGGCCATCGGGTTGGCCTATACAGGCCTCCTCTCAAACCTTACGGGGGCTAGGGTATGTTAAGGCTCCGGATGTAAGTGCTAGACACCTACAGTAAAAAGATGAGGAGGGTCATTCCGAAACTATGCAGCCCTATGTCCTGGATCTTCCCGTCTCCTTGCTCAATGATATGGGCTTTAAGCTAAGCAATAAATTTTCAGCCGCCTCTCAACAAATGATGAGGGACATGGGATGCCATCCAAGTTTCGGGCTAGGAAAACATTTACAAGGAAATAGGGGGCCCGTTCAAACACACCAGAGATACCTGAGGCAAGGGTTGGGTTTTTCCTAGGGGCCGCTGAGGGAGGTATTCCCATTACATGGAAGACGGAGGAGCCTATATGGGTTCCTCAGTGGCCACTTTCCTCCAAGAAATTAAATGCAGCAAAAACCTTAGTCGCTGAACAGCTTGCCTTGGGACACATAAAGCCATCCCTGTCACCATGGAATACGCCCATCTTTGTCATTAAAAAAAAAATCAGGAAAATGGCGCCTCTTACAGGACTTGAGAGCCATAAATAGCCAAATACAAGCAATGGGCCCTGTACAGCGAGGGCTGCCGTTACTTTCTGCCTTACCAGCGTCTTGGCATGTTATTGCAATAGATATAAAAGATTGTTTTTTCTCTATCCCTCTCCATATGGAGGATTGTAAACGATTTGCCTTTACTGTCCCATCTTTAAATCATGAAGAGCCCGATCAAAGATTTAAATGGGTTGTGTTGCCCCAGGAAATGGCCAATAGCCCCACTATGTGTCAGCTCTATGTAGGACAGACCATTGAGCCATTAAGAAGGGAATTCCCCATCCTAAGATGTTTTCATTATATGGATGATGTGCTGTTAGCTGCCAAGGAAAAAAAATTTTTAGAAAAGACATTTATTAGATTGATGTTTTTATTGAAAAATAAGGGACTGCTTGTGGCTCCCAAAAAGATTCAAAAAGGAAAAATGGTGAATTATTTGGGCACAAAGATTATCGGAGATCATATTATTCCACAAAAATTAGAGTTAAGAAAAGATAATTTAAAAACCTTAAATGATTTTCAAAAGTTACTAGGAAAAATAAAATGGATTAGGTGTTTTATTAAGTTCCCTAATTATGATTTAAAGCCCTTAAATGATCTCTTAAATGGAGATCTAGCCTTGGATTCCCCCAGACAGTTAACCCCTAAAGCAAGGCTCGCCCTACGTAGGGTGGAAGAGAGGCTACAAGATGCCTTCCTACAAAGATACAAGGAGGGACATCCCATCTTTGTATGTATACTTCCCACATATTATCAGCCTACGGGCTTGCTTTGGCAGGATGGACCTTTATGGTGGATTTATCCAAGCATATCCCCTACTAAATCTATTAAGTATTATCCCACCGTGGTGGCAAGATTGGCTCAAAATGACATCCAACAATGCTTACAACATTTTGGCATAACCCCAAAAGTGATCACTGTGCCCTACACCAATGATCAAATTCATGTCCTTTACACCACTATTGATGATTGGGCCATTTTAAGATGTGGGTTTAAAGGGGATATAGATAATCATTATCCAAAACATCCATTAATAGGATTTTTTAAGGAGCACCCGGTAGTCTTTCCAAAAATAACTTCCAATGCTCCAATCCCAGGTGCCCCCAATGTATTCACAGATGGCTCAAAAACAGGATGTGGTACCTATATGGTGGGCTCTTCGGAACCCGTTCAGATACAGTTTCAACCCGGCTCGCCCCAATTAGTAGAACTAGAGATTGTTGTTAAGGTTTTTGAAAATTGTTCTTTTGCCTTTAATCTTCTTTCAGATTCTGCCTATGTGGTTAATGCTATAAAGGTACTGGAAGCTGCCTGCCCTATTAGGTCCAGCAGTCCGGTCTACACCCTGTTTCAAAGGCTTCAAATTTTGATCTGGCACCAAAAATGTTGTTTTTTCATACAACATGTCAGAGCACATACGGGCCTCCCGGGCCCCATAAGTGAGGGCAATAATAAAGTTGATCAATGGACCAAAATGGAGTATATATTCCTTTGTTCCACCCTGGATAGAGCCAGAGATTTTCATAAAAATTTTCATGTAAATGCCAAAACCTTACAACAAAAGTTTCATCTCTCCCGGGCTGATGCACGACAAGTCATCTTAGATTGTACTCAATGTGCCGTCCATCATCATCCGCCCTGTCTCGGAGTCAATCCTAGAGGATTGCTCCCCTTAAAGGTTTGGCAAATGGATGTTACTCATGTTGCCAAATTTGACAGTCTAAAATATGTCCATGTATCTGTTGATACCTGCTCTAAAATTATCCATGCCACCCCTCTATCAGGCGAAAAGGCTTGCAATGTTGTCACCCATTGCCTGGAGGCTTGGGCAGCCTGGGGAAAACCCAGGCAGCTAAAAACTGATAATGGGCCGGCTTATACAGCTCAGTCCTTTGCCTCCTTTTGCAAACAAATGGAGGTTCAACTGCTTCATGGATTGCCATATAATCCACAAGGTCAGGACATAGTAAAACGTGCCCATCACACTCTAAAAAAATGTCTAAATAAACAAAAAGGGGGAATAGGCTATGGCCGCACCCCAAAAGAGAGGCTTTCTCTCGCCCTCTTTACTATAAATTTTTTAAATTTGGATGCTCAAGGTCGCTCTACAGCTGACAGACATCAAGAACCCCATGGTCCAAGCAAAGGCTTGGTAAAATGAAAGGACATCTTGACTGGCACATGGCATGGGCCTGATCCCGTGCTGACTTGGGCACGAGGTTCTGTTTGTGTTTTTCCACAGGACCAACAAGACCCCGTGTGGGTTCCAAAACGACTGGTGAGGAAGGCACAGACACCGCTGGATCCAAATGATACAAATGCCACTCAGGCCGCTCACCCCATGCTTTCCAATGATGATGATGATAACGACAATGGCGGTGGCGGAGCCTCGCTGGGGGATTCTATCGACCTTTCCAATGCTGATGCTGGTCCGCCATAATGCACAAGTTTTCCCTTGGTTGTTTAACCTGCCCTCCCTTCCTTTAGATACCCAGGCATCCCCTATAGGGAAAAACCGGACTTTTCCTGAAAAGAAAAGTTTATGTTTTACATTTTGACCAGCAGCTCCTGCATTAAGTTAGCCTGCCATACTGCAGGATGGTTTTTTCATAAAGATAAATATCAATCCGGACAGAGTCAAAGTTGTAATTCCACCACCTGCCGGACGCATCTTATCACAAATTACTCTACCAATGCGGCCTGGATTAATGGTTCATGGCCAGTAGTAGCAAAGAGGAGTAATGATACCCCTCCTACTCAACCAAGGTGGGCACCCCGATGCTGGGGCCACTTTGAGGGGGAGGCCTGGCCCTGGACAGGATGCCAGGCCGCACAAGTAAATTGGACAAATAAAGATAAACTATTCACCTTTTCCCCAGATATAGTAGGAAAGAATAAAGGTCTTTTAAATATCCCAGTCTTTGTGTTACCAGCGTACAGTTTAAAAATTATATACGTGCTGCTAATTTGTCTAAACTTTCCAGTTATCTTCTAGGTAATTGGTCAGGGAAATTTAAAAAAAAACTCGACCAACTACACACAGCCATAGTGACAGTAAACTCCACCCAAGTCGATTCCAGCATCACAAAAGGATTGTCCTCCTGGATCAGGGCCACCATGGATCACTTAAAGGAGTGGGCGGGGATAGGGTCCCTACTTGGCCTGATGGCCATAGCCTCCCTGGTATGCCTGTGGTGCTTCTGTAATGCTCAGTCTAATCAGCGCTATAATACAATGATGGTCATACAAGCATTCGCTACCATTAAAGAAGGTCAGTCCCCCTCAGCCTGGCTGGCTACCTTTAAAAACTAATTTTCTCCGGTCGGGGTGCAAGACTAAACACTACACGAGGGTTTGCTTGTAAGCAGTTAAGCTACCCTCGGAAGACAAGCCCAATTACAGAAAGGTTGTACCCAAGATCCTTCCCCTGGGAAAACAGGTACAGGATGGGTCAGGGTCACCACAAGCATAGAGTCTGTAGGTGTCACCTGTACATTATCCCAGCTTTACACACCAGGGATCGGGCCTCTATCTTCACCCACCTTTGTTATATAAAAACAAAAAGGGGGAACTGTGGAGAGCTGCGCCACACCGCGCCTCAAAGATGGCGCCGGCTTCCGCATTCCACCATCCCGACGGTGAGTGCGCTCGGAAATAAACAACTCCTTATTTGGCCTGCTCCCATCCCGCCGGGGTCACGCCGTCATCATCAGATTGCTTATGCATTCTGATGAGCCTATGGCTTGCACACACGTGGCTGCTCAGGGTTGGCTGGCCTCGGCTATTTAGGGAGCAGGAGGGGTTTTTCCCGTGGCTGCCTCTACGTTGTTTCAAGGTTCCTAAATAAACCGCTGATGAGAAGGATTCCTGAGTCGCGTCTTCCTTGCAGGTCGAGGTGGTCGTGACATAGCTCCATGTTCAAAGGCACTGGCTTCTCTTCCAGAGGACCTGGGTTTGATTCTCAGAACCCATATGGGGATTCACAACCCTCTGAAACTCAATTTCAGGGCATTCTGGGCCTTCTCCTGGCCTCTTCAGGCACCAGGCACACAGTGTACAAAGACATATATGCAAGCAAAGCACTAATATACATAAAATAATAATAATGTAAACATTAAAGAACTTTTTTTTGCCTAAAAACATCTGAACTATACTAGCTGGCTTTAAATTGTGTTTGATTATTACAGTAAGTTGGTTTTTGTAGAAACAAGTTATTCTTTATTCTTAAAAAATGCCATATATACTGGTTGTATGACATTAGTAGCAAAGGATACTTTTTTCATAAATGAAGATGATTCCTGGACTTTCAGTAGAAAGGGTCCCAAACTCACATGTTCTCATGTGAGTGAATTAAGAGAGTGAAGTGGGTTTGATGTTAGAGATAATGGTAATTTTCTTGGAGTGTGGAAGATTCCAGAACTCATATCCTACTTAAAGGTGGTCTGTGTTGTTCCCCCTCAGGGCTTCTAAGTGAGAATTTATGCCTCAGACAATGTGCAGAATCCTTCAACTGAAAGTTGGTGTTCACTTCAACATTTGGTATCTGGCCACCATAATATAAATCACCCTTGGCAGGGGCTGGGTTTTGCCTCAGATAATAGATGTCATTGAATAGTATAATTTAAATTTTTCATTTCCAAATCAGAAATGACACCAACACTCTAAGAACATGAGGGCATCCTATGAGAGACATAATTCTTCCACTGAAGCCTGGTTTCGGATGTCTAAAGGACATCAGTCACTTTGTAGTCAGCTGCACGGTGACTGTTAGAGACAGTTGCTATAGATATGAAGTGTTCTTCCTAAGGCGCATGGGTAGAAGGCACGGTGCCCATTTGGTGGAGCTGTTGAGAGGTCACTGAACACTGAGGGTTCTGACCTGATCAACGGGTTCATCCGTTGGGGGATCCGCAGTTTGATGGCACCTACCCGAAGGTAAAGTAGTGAGTGTGTCCTGGTTGGAGGAAGTAGGAGACAGGGACCATGCCTCTACCGATAAGAAAAATACGTCGTATCCCGGATCCCTTTCCTTTTGTCACTTGGCTTCCTGGCAGACATGAGGTGAGTAGCTATCTTTTACTACAGCCTTCTGCTATCATGTTTATAGCTTGTCACAGGTATCATAACAAAGGAGCCTGGTGACCACAGACTCAACTCTCTGAAGCTTTTTTCATTTCAGTTGCTTTCCTCAGGCATTGGTCATCATGTCACAAAACGAATGTAGGAGTAAGGGACACAAACATGTGAGGATGGGTTAAACACTGCTAATCTTTCACAGATGCTGCTAAATTCTATTTACTCTTTGACCCAGTCCCTTTAAAAATCAAATGGAACAGTGACACTGTCCAACACAGCTCCATGGGATACCTGTAGAATAATACCCAGGTACAGCTCAGCCGCAGGATCATAATGGATAACTGCCAATCCACACAGCTACTGCCATTTAGAAAAGAGTACAGATATGCTGATATAGGGCAGCTAAGTAGAAGCCCTGGTTATAGTACACTCTAAATAGCCCAGAATTTGGTGTTCAAAGGGAAGATGTCAAGGTAGCAGCATTAGCATGTCTTGGCGGATTGTTAGAACTATAAGATCTCAGCCCACCCCAGGTGGACTGAATCCAACTGCATTTTAATAGAATCTCCACACAAGTCATGTGAACTGCACAGTTAAACAAGCACCATCTTGGAAAACTGTGTCTTCCCTTGCCCCCTACCATATCTTGCGTTAGAAACACTTAAGGGATATTTTCTAACTTCTACTAGACTATTCATGTATTAAAGGAAGAGATTACTCTAGGGGAAAAATCCTACTTTTGTGCTTGACATCTTGGCCATAGTAAAAAGAAAATTGGTATGGAATAGAAATTAAAATTATCATAATAATGGTAATTAGGGCAGCCCACAGTGCCTGGGTGTTTTACATGTGCCTGAGGTGGGCTTATTCTACAAACCCTATTCTATTTACTCCTCAAAATAACATAGAAGGAGCAATCATTATATTTATGTGGTACATGGAGAGGTTGAAGAAGCAAAGTTAAGTAACTTGCGCAGACAGAAGGAAGAAAGAGTGGAGACCCAACTTATGCACCCGGCAGGCCTGTGTTCTAATTGGACAGACAGGCAGGTGTGGAAATAAAGGAGAACCTGGAAGAAAGTTGTTTCTAGCTGGGAGGTTGCTGTACTTCCAATGATTTGTAGGGCTCATGTCTCATTGTCTTCTGCATCTTGTCCTGGGGAAAAAGTCCTTCCTTTGCCGACATCAGGTACCTTCTGCTCAAGGTTCACCTGGACCAGAAGACACACTGTGTCTTGATATTGATCCACCTGCCTGAAGATGAAAGAGGTAACATTCTTTTGCTTCTGTCAGCCATCTTGCCTTTTCTTCTAAAGCAAAAGAAATTAATCAGCTGAATGGAGGAAAGATGATAAAAGTGTTGGAACAGGAAGAAAGGGAAGAAAATTTCACTCCATTTTTCAGATCTGTCTGAAGAGAGGCACAGGCACACTTAGTAACAATTTAATGAGACCACACGAGACAGCACTACTGTGGTGGTGATAGAAAATATATAATTATTATTAATACACATGTATAGCTAGAACTTAAAATACATCCTAGTGCCATCTGACAAGATAGGAGCAGAAGGAATTAACCATCCTCCTTGGGCACAGAGGTAAACACTGGGCTATGAATTGTGCTGGGGGATAAAAATGTGAGATGAAGAGCTTAATGAAACTAAGTTAGTGCAAGAGAAAGTGGGAGTGTCTTTTAATGAACACGCTTTGAGATAGTTTAAATTGCTCTTCAGTGGAGGCGAATTAGATTATTCATGAGTCACAAAGGAAGAAATGTCTCGGGCTGTATTTCCATCTTGTCTTAAGAACTGGCTGTTGAGTGTTACCAAGGTTCTTTTTTAAAAAAAACCAATACCTAACAATTAGCTTCAGGAGATACTTATTAAATATTTTACAAGCAAAAGGGAACTTGCATCCTATTCTCCCCCTGCAATAGGATGAGAAATACCATAATGGATGGAGTCATAGGTTTGAAGAGAGATCTGGCACCAGTGAGCCCTTTAACGGTCTACAAGGATGACACCAACTGGCAAGCTAAGCAATAGTGGAGAGGCTACCTTAAATGCCCATTCCTGACTACCTTATATGCCATCCTAGAACTTTCATTCAGTGACTGATGGAGGCAGAGGCAAACACTCACAGCTAAACACTGAACTGAACCCCTGGAACCCAGTGACAGAGAGAGAGGAGCGATGAGCAAATTGGCAAAGAATGGGCTGGCGAAACCAGCAGAGACAGCTAATCTGAACAAGGGGGAGCTCTTGGACCCCAGACTGACAGCTAGGAGGCCAGCATGGGACTGATCCAGACCCCCTGAGTGTGAGAGTCAGTGAGGAGGCCTGGGCAACCTATGGGACCCTGAGCA